TTATAATGGGAATTAAATTTTCCCTCCTGCTCAGAGGGGCCCTGGACTGACAGCTCCCTGAGCCGGGGTGTGGGGCTCAGTGAGGGACTCAGATCCAGCTGTTAAGGTCAGGATTGTCCATGGAGCCCAGGGTGCCTCTGTCCTGTTACTGCCAGGTCAGGGCCAGCTGGGGGCAGAGGCAAGGGAGAAAGGACTGGGCCAGAGAGAGGGTGGGGCTGGGGGAGATGAGGGCTGAGAGGGGACAGGGAAGATTGCTAGGACAGGGCTCTCCATCTCCTGCCTGAGCAGAACCCACAGTGGTTTCAGCAAGGAGGAGGGAAGAGGAGAGACTGAGTCCTGGGAGTGGGTGGTGTCACCTGAGCTGGTGCTGGAGGAACAAGCCCTGAGCCCCTCCAGCCCTCAGCACCAGGGCTGCTGGAGCTGCCCCATGTGGGGCTGGAGGTGGAGGGGAGTCCTCCTGCCGGACTCAGCACCCGCTGGGCTCCCAGCGCATCTCCTTCAGCCTCTCTGTGCAGAGTGAGGTGTAGGATAGATGTGTGGCCGGCCGCCTGGTCAGGTGTGGGGATTGTGGGTGGACTGACACCTGGACAACACATCACCCTTCTCCTGTCATCTTCAGGCTGCCTTCCCTGCAGATGTGTGACCGAGGAGCAGCAGGGCTCCTGGCCCCTGGTCTTCACCCTGATCAGAGGGGCCCTCATGGGGGCTGGCTTCCTCCTCACCTACGTCCTCACCTGGCTCTACTACACCAGGTGAGCAGGCCTGTCTCTCCCCGGGGAAGGGCAGGGATTGGCCCTGAGGTGCAGGTGGGGCCGCACTCTCCGGCTCTGCCTGGAGTTAGAGGCAAAGAGGTCGAGTCTCTGAGCTGACACCTGTGTGGGCCCCGCAGGTGTGGAGGCCCCCGGAGCAGGAGGCAGAGCTCCTGATGGATCCTCCTTCCTCTCAGGATGGGACTGAGGTGTGGACACCAGGCGAGAGGGACCGTCCTGGGGCGTCAATGTCACCTTCTCCCTGGAAGATCTTTTTAAAAATTTTTATTAAATCTTTATTGTTCAGATTATTACAATTGTTCCTCTTTTTTCCCCCCATATCTTCCCTCCACTCGGTTCCAACCCCACCCTCTGCACTTCCCCCCCCCCCCCGT